CACGGCCGCAGGCCCTGGCCCCCCCCTTGGAGCCCCCCCTGGCCCCTCACGCCCTGCCGGCGGCTGGCACGGTGCGGCTGCACCTGGGCTGGAGGCTGAGTGCCAGGCAGGGGGGCGGCCCCCCTCACCGAGGTGCTGGGCCTGGCTCCCCAGGCTGGGGTGCTGCCGGTTTTCTCTCTCTCCCGGCTGCCTGCCTGCAGCTCCTGCCTGCACATGGGGCACCCATAGGATACCCCGGCACGGAGGGGCGAGGGCGATGGACACCCTTCCCGGCCGTCCCTCCTCCCTAGAAATAACAGACGGGCTCAGCTGCGGCTCCCCACCCAAACCGGGGCAGCCCGGAGCTGCCGAGAAGCAGCTGCCAGGGAAAGTGATAGGGAGCGCTGGGGCCGTCCTGCTGTCCCCAGCAGGGACACGCAAAGGGGGGGCATTCCCGGGGGGGGCACGTGTCACCTCACCGTGGCCATGCCAGGGTTTCATGCAGGCAGCCCCACGGGTGCAGGGTCAGATAAAGACTCCTGCCTCGGGAACACAGCTCCTCCTGTCCGTGCATCTGCATGCACACAAACACACGTGCACGTACACACAAGCATGCACGCACGCTTGGACACACATGCACGTGATCACACATGCACACACGAGCGCGCAGGGCTTTGGGCGGCCACGCAGCCACGGCAGGTCCCAGCCACGCAGGTTGCGGGACACCAGAACCAAGCTGAGGGCCGGCACCGCCTGGAGGGGCAAGTTGGCTGCTCGGCCCCATGCCCGGCAGGGGTTGGCTGCCCCATGCCCGGCAGGGGCCCCCCCCCCTTGGCAATAGCAGCAAATTTAATTTAAGCCCTGGACACACCGGGCTGAGGAATCCGGCAGCACAGCCGGTCCCAGCCGCCAGCGGGGATCCAGTTCCCGCAGAGCTTTCCCTGCGGGTGAAGCCTGTTCCCAAGCGGGTGCTCGAGGTCCCCGTCACCCCCTGGTTTCCGGCTCCCTGCGGAGGCACCCGGTGCCCCACGTGCCATCATTAAGGATACCTTGGGCGTGCGCTTCCTCCCCAGCCCGCTTTGTCAGCCTGACTCATGGGCCAGACGCCATCCCCGCATCCTGCCCGCCGCACCAAAAACGCCCGCCGCATCCCGGGCAGCCAGACCTGCCTGCGCCCCAGCGGGAGCTGGATGGATCCTGCACCCTGGGCAGTGGCTCTGGGCGGACACACACAGTGCAGGAGCCGGGCTGGTGTGGGAAATACTTCATCCCCGTGAGGGCTTTTTTGGGGACCCCGAGTGCTGGATGGAAGCCCTGGTCAAGGGGAGCCCTGGTGCTGCCCTGGCCAGCAGTTGCCGAGCCGGGGCTGAGCCGGGGGGGAGCGCTGGCTGGGGCAGGACGGAGCGGCAGCAGCTCTGGCCCCTTCAAAAATGAAACCTGCAGCTCTGGGACGGGCGGCTGGACCTTGTCCCCTGGCCTGTCACTGCTGCCGCGCATGTGGCGTTTGCCGAGCAGCACCCGCACCAGGCAGGCTGGCTCCCTGCACGTGTGGAGCCATTTGCAGCCATGGCCCCACCACCACGGCTGGAGCCAGAGGGAGGCAGCAGCAGGGCCCGTGTCCAGGAGGGGTCCCCTGGGTGCAGACACTGGTGGCTTTGGTACCACCTTCCCCAGCAGCCGCCTGCCCACGTGGGATGCATCAGTATCACAAGGAGCAGGGGGATCTCACCAGTGCAGGCAGCACCCACGGTGCTGGGGGGCCGTGGTGCCGCACGAGGCCACCCGGGGATAACGCACGGGCGCTTTTCATCTTCAAAGCGCTCCCTGCACCGACTTTTATCCTCGCGCCTCCCCAGCCCACCTGGGAGGTCTCCGCTATCGCCGCCCCCATCTTGCAGTCCCGGAGGAGCCGGGACTTGGCCAAGTGCAGCAGCACTTTGCTGGAGCGGGGCAAGGAGGCAGGGGAGGGCTGCATGGTCGGCACGGTACTGGCTGGGGGACAGAGGGGAATC